GGGAGCGGCCACTGCACTCCAGTCTGGGCGACAGAGTGAGACTCCAACTCACCAAAAAAACCCCAAAAAACAAAAACAAAAAAACCCAAACAAACAAAAAAATGTTTGTTCGTTCAAGAAAACATGATATTTCTGGCAAGGTAGAAACGAAGAGCATCTACTGTACTAGACATTACATTTGTGTTTTTAACGTCAAAAATCAAAACTATTAAATGAAATCATTCCATATTTGTTCTCCTTTTATACCAAAAAGAAGGGTCTTGAAAATCACCTACCTCTTCTGCATATGATTTTCCAATTCCATCAGTGCTACCTGTGACAACTGAGAAAGAAAGAAAAGTAATAGTTTAGTTTAGGTTCAATGAAGAACTGGCCTAGTTGGAACCCATCAGTTACACACAAGAGGACCTGCATAGTATTTTGATGTAAGAGAGAACAATACCAGTGGTTCAAATTTAGGGTTAAATATACATCACAACAGTTAAAATTAAAAAGACCACAACACCAAGTGAGGACAAGAACATGGACCAGTTGAAACTCTCATACACTGCTATGGCACTGTAACTGATATGAATATCTTGAAAAAACGATTTGCCAATATGTTTAGAACTAAAGATATGTCTTTCCTATAACCCAGCAATTCCCAAAATATTGAATGCATTATGTTTACCAAAAGAATGTTCATGGTAGCTTTATTTATGTATAGTAGGTAAATATGCCTAAATGTTAATCTATAGAAGAATAAGTAAGTCGAGGTACAAACAGTGGGATACTAAACAGCAATAAAAAAGAGCTACTGATATATGCAAAACATGACCAAATCTCCAAAACATTATGTTGAGTGAAAAAAGCCTCATGTAAAAGTGTACATTCATTCCATTTATCAAGCTCAAAAAAAGGCAAAACTAATCTATGATGACAGAAGCCAGAATATTGGTTGCCTCTGCATAGTGGGGTAGATGACAGGGAAGGAACATAAGGGAAACTTCGGGGTGCAGGGAATGTTCTTTATCTCTTACGGTGTCAGTTACTGCGGTGTAGTGTGGGTGCCTGCTGTGTGTGCAAATTCATTGAGGTGTACACTTAAGTACACACTTACTACATATGTTATATTTTAATAGACTAGTTTTAAAATTAAGGGTAGTAAAAAGAAATGGAATACGATTTAATTATTCTATGACAAAACCATATTTTTATTATAATCTCACAAACTTCATGTAGCAGAAACATTTGAAAATTATAATGTGTCAAGCTACACCATGGCATCCTGTCTCTGGATTGCTGGAATCACGTTTGTTACAAGTTCAGAGCATGAATGCCTGCTTCAAAAGATTAGGGTGTCCCCCCGCCGCAATTCTCAAATATGAGCTTTTCCAAACCATTTACAGATTGCTTTTTAAAAAGCATGGAATAAAGTAAGATTTTTCTTATTTGTTCACTTCTTTCAAATTACACAAGATGGTCCCAATTTTGCTATCAGATATATAGCAAATACTTCTATATTCTCTCTAGACATATCTTTTATAATCATAAAGACTTTAATTACACTCCTGCTCAGCTGTCATCTTTCCAGAGTTTAAAAAAAACCAACTTTTTAGAATAAAAAAGTCAAAATAGCCAGAGAACAGTGTAACCTCCAGGTACCAATGGTCCAGCTTCACTGAAGATCAACCTGAGGTTAATCTCGCTTCATCTATTACCCACCTGCTTCCTCTCACCTCAGATTACTTTGAAGTAAATCCCAAACATCATATCACTTCATCCATAAATATTTCAGTATGCACCTGCTATTAAAAATAACCACAGGCCGGGCTTGGTGGCTCTCAGCCTGTAATCCCAGCACTTTGGTGAGTGGACTGCCTGAGCCCACGGGTTCAAGACCAGCCTGGGCAACTTGGTGAGACCTTGTCTCCACAAAAAAAAAAAAAAAAAAAAAAAAATTAGCCGGGTGTGGTAGCATGCATATGTAGTTCCAGCTACTTGGAAGGTTGAGAAGGACAGCTCACCAGAGCCCAGCAGGTTGACACAGGGGTGGCCGTGAGTGTACCACTGCACTCCAGCCTGGGCAATGGAAGGAGACTCCCACTCAAAAAAAACCCTCCAAAAAACAAAAAAACTCTACAAATTACAATGAGATATCACCTAACACTGGTAAGGATGGCTAACATTAACATTAATAAGTCAAAAAACAAGTGCCAGTGCAGCTGGGGAGAAAAGGGAATCCTTCTACACTGTTGGTAAGAGTGCAGGCTAGTTCAACCTTTATGGAAAGCAGTGTGGCAACTTCTCAGAGAACTAAAAATTGAGCTTCCATACACTCCAGCAATCCCTCTCCTGGGAATATGCCCAGAGGAACATAAATTGCTCTACCAAAAAGATACCTGCACATGCATGGTCACTGCAGCACTACTCACAATAGCAAAAAACATGGAACCAACCCAGATGCCCATTGAAAGTGAACTGGATAAAGAAAATGTGGTACATATACACGATGGAATATTATGCAGTCATGAAGAACAAAATCATGCAATTTGGATGCAGTTGGAGACCATTATACCAAGTGAACAATCAAAGAAGCGAATACTGCATGTTCTCACTCAAAAGTAGGTCCTGAACACTAGTCACACTAGCACAAGAGTGTGAGTGGCAAACACTGAGCACTGCTAGAGGAGAGAGGGGGCATGGAGCTACATATTGGGTACTTCTCCACTGTCAGGGAGAGAGAGGACCAGCTAGAAGCCCAAACTACTTCACCTACATGCAACCTACTTACGTAGTAAGTCCCCACTTGTAACCCACAACTCTTTTTTTCTTTTTTTTGAGTTGGAGTCTCACTTGGTCGCCCAGACTGGAGTGCAGTGGCC